TTATTAAAACAACTAAAAAGCTGGGTGCTGGTATCTCACACCTATAATCCTAGCTACTCAGGAGGCTGAGATCTGAGGACTATGGTTTGAGGCCAGCCTGAACAGGAGAGTGTGTGAAACTCTTATCTCTAATCATTACAAAAAAAGTCACAGTGTTAGCCAGATGTTGGTGGCTCACTCCTGTAATCCTAGCTACTCAGGATGCTGAGATCTGAGGATCATGGTTCAAAGCCAGCCCAGGCAGGAAAGTCTGTGAAACTCTTATATTCTGAATGTTCCTATATTCTAAGCAAATGTACCTCATCCTCTTAGAATAGATCTGAGACACAAGAAGAAATGGAGAGTCAAGAAAGTGGTAAAAATATGACCAAATCTCAATATAGGCTGATTAAAACAAATATTAATATCATATGATATGGAAGAAATGCAATAATATACATGTGAGGTGAGGAAGGAGTCCTTGTATAGTCTGCAAGGAGGTGAAGGTCCATTTTGACTTTCAGCTTAGATAACTAATAACTGAATACAAATAAATAATGCCTCTTCAGATTCTCTTTGTCTACCCATTCATCATTCATTCATTCACTCATTCACTCATGTGTGTGCTAGTACTGGGACTGAAACTCAGAGCCAGCCAATTGTCCCTTAACTTTTTCCATGTAAGGCTGACCCTCTATCCTTGAGTCATAACTCTATTTCTGCTATCTTGATGTTTAATTGGAGACAAAGAACCTCTTAGATTTGTCTGCCTGGGCTATCTTTGAACTGTGATCCTCTGAGCTTAGCCTTCTGAGAACTCCGATTACAGCATGACCCACTAGTACAAAAGTATTGTCTGTTCCACTACTGACTTTACCCAGCTTCCTGGATTGGCCATCAAACTGAAGGCACCAAAGCTTTTCTGACAGGATTTGCCCACCATCTCCCAGAGTTGGATGCAATGCTATAGCACTCCTTCATAGGATCAGCTTGCTGAGTAGTCACCAGGAAATTACTGTGGGTAAACTTTAAGCAATGGTTAATGGGACAGGGAAGGAGTTAGAAAAGTTACCTCTCCTTCCTTTCTTTTTTTTTTTTGTCGGTCGTGGGGCTTGAACTCTGGGCTTGGGCGCTGTCCCTCAGCTCTTCAGCTCAAGGCGAGCGCTCTACCACTTGAGCTACAGCGCCACTTCCGGTTTTCTGGTGGTTTATTGGAGATAGGAGTCTCACGGTCTCTCTTGCCCGGGCTGGCTTTGAACCGCGATCCTCATATCTCAGCCTCCTGAGTAGCTAGGATTACAGGCGTGAGCCACCAGCGCCCGGCTCCTTCCTTTCTTTAACAGACAGCCCAGAGAAATTTCTCCTGACAAATCTTCCAGGGAAGCTACCTGCTCTAAGGGAACACACTGATGGGAGACTCCTAAGCCTTTCTTCAGTGTCACAAAGCATGGCTCCTGCAGGAACACACTGCAGATTTCCTCACCCTGCTTTCCCTTTGCTTCTTCAACTTCACCTCCTAGATCAAGGAACAGTACTTCTATTTTTGCATCTGTCTTTACTTGCTTGAGGACCCAAGCTAAAATATCCTGTATAACTTCGGCTGACTATTAAAAGAATAAAACACAGCATACAATTTCCTAATTAGACAGAAAATAATCAATTTTTAAAAGGCAAGAGAGAAAACAAGATGGAATAGTTGAAAATAATAACACACAGATGGACAGATTAGATCAAAAATTTATCAGTGATAATACATGTATTAAATGTAAATATATTAGACATATGTAATTACATAAAATTTAATTTACAGATTAAATTTGAATGGATTTATTGTTGTTTTTTGTTTTGTTTTGTTTTTGTTGGTAGTAGGGCTTGAACTCTGGGCCGGGCCTCTGTCCCTGAGCTCTTCAGCTCAAGGTGTGTGCTCTACCACTTGAGCCACAGCACCATTTCCATTTTTCTGGAGGTTAAGTGGAGATAAAGAGTCTCAAGGACTTTCCTGCCCAGGCTGGCTTTGAACCACAATCCTCAGATCTTAGCCTCCTGAGTAGCTAGGATTATAGGTATGAGCCACCGGTGCCTGGCTTAGATTTAATGTTTTAGTTAAAAGATAAAGATTATCAGACTGAATAAAAACAGTATGAAGTATAATTTAGTGTTAAGAGTGTCTAGCAAGAATGAGGCCCAGGATTCAATCCTCAGGACTGACAAAGAATATGAAGTAAAAATGCATACATTTATTATCCTAAATTGAATCTCTAGCACCATCAAAAAAAATTTACACATCTGGAGCCTTAAAATACAGCATAGAGTTTCAAGAAATTAAAAGTCATAACTTTTAATCACTGTGTGTACTTTTGCAAACTCTTTTTTCTTTTCTTTTTTTTTTTTGGGTCCGGTCGTGGGGTCTGAACCCTGGGCCTGGGCGTTGTCCCTCAGCTCTTCAGCTCAAGGCTAGCGCTCTACCACTTGAGCCACAGTGCCACTTCTGGCTTTTTTCTTTTTGCTTATGTGGTGCTGAGGAATCGAACCCAGGGCCTCAGGCATGCAAGGCAAGCGCTCTACCACTGAGCCACCTCCCCAGCCCTTTTGCAAACTTTTTTCCCCTCCAGTACCAGAGATGGAACCCAGAGCCTCATACATGCTAGGTCAGTGCTCTATCACTTAGTTACATTCCCAGTCTTCATTTATAAAATCCTTATACAAACTATTATTTTTCTCTGTTATTGTGAAAAAGGAAATTTCTCTGTAAGTATAACTAAAATACTTATTTTTACCATTATCAGGTATACAAATGAGATCCAAAACTGAGGAAAGAGTTATGGTTGTCAAATTGACAGTCTAATCTCTTTCATAGCTTATAGGAAGGTTCTAGTAACTTCTCAGGAGATAGCTGAAGCATTCAATGTAATCCAGGTAGGGGAAGCAGAATAGCCTTAGAGGAATCTCCTGCATATCACTGTTTCCTTATTGGTATGCTACTATTATTATGTCTTTATTAAGAAATACATAATTTTGGGGATTTGTCAAAGACTTAATTGAAAATACTTCTCAGGACAGAGTTCCATTATCTTTGCTCATATAGTACATGGACACTGTCCCTGGGCTTCTTTTGCTCAAGGCTAGTGCTCTACCACTTGAGCCACAGCACCACTTCTTGCTTTTTTTTTTGAGTGGTTTATTGGAGGTAAGAGTCTCATGGACTTTCTTGCCCCAGCTGGCTTCAAACGGTGATCCTCAACTTTCGGCCTCCTGAGTAGCCAGGATTAGAGTCATGAGTCACCAGCGCCCAGCAAGCATTGTTTTATAAAATCACAAATTTCACAGTGGAACTCAATCTAGGGCAACTCAAGTTTACAGATATAAAATACACATACCTTTGCTTATGGAAGCTTTACTCGCTCAATAGGGTATACCTGGAAAGGCGTCCTGCCAATTATGAGACATCTGCACTGAACCTAAAACACAGACTTCATCATACATTCTCACCAAAGTTTCTCTGATGATTCAGGGTAGGAAAGTTGAAAAGGGAAAAATTAAATAATCCCTGGAGATGAAATTAAGCAAGGCTAACAGAGACAGAGACCCCCCAACTTTTACCTTCACTAATTAGTCTCAGATACCAAATAACAACAAAATGTTAAAATCAGATATAACTCCTTAAGTAAATTTTTTTTTTGTAGGTTGTAGGCTTGAACTCTGGGCCTAGGTGCTGTCCCTCAGCTCTTCAGTTCAAGGTTAGTGCTCTACCACTTGAGCCACAGCACCACTTCCAGTTTTCTGGTGGTTTATTAGAGATAAGAGTCTCAACAGACTTTCCTGCCCTGGCTGGCTTTGAACCATGATCCTCAGATCTCAGCCTCCTGAACAGCTAGGATTACAGGTGTGAGCCACCAGTGCCCAGCTTAAGTAAAATATTTCAAGTAATAAGCTTAGCATATAAGAGAACAAGAATTGGGCTGGGAAGGTGGCTCAGTAGCAGAACGCTTGCCTTGCATGCATGAGGCCCTGGGTTCTATTCCTCAACACCACATAAGCAGAAAAAAAAAGTCAGAAGTGGCGCTGTGGCTCAAGTGGTAGAGTGTTAGCCTTGAAGGACAGTGCCCAGGCCCAGAGTTCAGGCCCCACGACCGGACCTCTCCCCCACCCCAAAAAAAAGTACAAGAATTAAATAAGACTTTTTGCCCTCACAGCATCTGAATCTTAGATTGAGTTAGCTTTCAAGCTGTGTTGCCAGTAACACATAAAGTTAAAAGTGTTACCCACATTTCTAAATGACTTCTGATTGTGGTCATAGTATCTGTGTTTCAGTATTTAACCTAAAAGATCCCTGTGAGGGGCTGGGAATGTGGCTAAGTGGTAGAGTGCTTGCTTAGCATGCCTGAAGCCCTAGGTTCCATTCTTCAGTACCACATAAAACAGAAAAGGCTGGAAGTAGTGCTGTGGCTCAAGTGGTAGAGCGCTAGCCTTGAGCACAGAGAGGCTCAAGGACAGTGCCCAGGCCCTGAGTTCAAGCTCTAGGACCAGGGGAGGGAGCTTGGGGGGGGGGGGGGGGGGAAATCACAGCCAATAATAATTTATAATTTCAGATGTATTAACTTTATAGATTACAAATTTTAGTTAATTCATAATTATGGTTAACTTTCTCCTTATACTAAATCTTGCACTTAACTTTTCCTAAATTTCCTTAACTTTTAACTAAATCAACACATTAAAAAAAATCATATTCTGTATTTACTCCAATTATAAAGCAGTGAGGTTATCATATCCATTTCATCATTATAAGTAACTTATACATAATAATGTCAAATGACCAAAAATATTGACTTAAAGTTAGCTGGGTTCTAAGCATTTCTGTGACAGCACATAAATTAAAAAAATATTGTACTTTTTTTATAAAAAGTTTAAGTTATATTTTTCTCTCAAATTGTTCTTCCCGATTTAATTAGAAAACAAACCTAAAGAGTCATTTTATTTACAGATGCCTATTTCTTCTTAACCCACATGTGGGAATCAAATACCTGAAGGAGTTGGAATCTTATGAATACAGCCAGGACAGCAGTGTAGAGATTCATGAACAAAAACGTCACAGTCCACACAGAAAACATTCTGGCACACAGCACAAACGTAGACCTATAGCAGAGAGGGCAAAGTTAATAAACAAAAGCTAACCCCTGCCTAGCCTGCTTTGCGTGTGTATATTCCAGTAAACTTCTATTACCCACTACCTACCTATTTTAGAGAGTACTAAATATTCTCACATCTAAGGCAACTTATTTCCCATACTAACCTTTATAAATGACCTCATTTCTTAGAGCTTAAAGTGTATTTATTGTAGGACAGCCAAACTTCCTTTGTCTGTCTGTCTGCCCCCCGCCCCTCTCTCTCGGCTTGAACTCAGGACCTAGGCACTATCTATTAGCTTTTTTGCTCAGGGCAGGTGGCCAATCATTTGAGTGAAAGCTCCACTTCTGGCTCTTTTGGTAGTTTCGTGTAGATAAAAGTCACTTTTCTTTTCTTTTTTTTTTTTTTTGGGCCCGGTCGTGGGGCCTGAACTCTGGGCCTGGGCGCTGTCCCTCAGCTCTTCAGCTCAAGGCTAGCGCTCTACCACTTGAGCCACAGAGCCACTTCCGGCTTTTTGCTTATGTGTTGCTGAACCCAGGGCCTCATGCATGCAAGGCAAGCGCTCTACCACTGAGCCACCTTCCCAGCCCGTGTCACAGACTTTTCTATTTGTGGCTTTTTGCTGGTTAATTGGAGATAAAAGTCTCAAGGCCTTTGCTGCTCAAGCTGTTTTCAAATTTCAATCCTCAGATCTTGGCTTTCTAAGTAGCTAGGATTATAGGTGTGAGCTACCAGCACCTGGCTATTATTTATTTGTTCCCATTTTCTCTTTATTTGCTGTAATCATATTAATGAAAAAATAACCTAATACAAGCTTGGTCTTTAACAACCTATTTAAAATTTATTACACTGTTTCCTCAGTATTTCTTTCTTTTTTATTCCAATACTGGGGCTTGAAATTCAAGGTCTAAGCACCATCCCTGAGCTGCTTTTGCTCAAGGCTAACAACAGTCCACTACTTGAGCCACAGCTCCATTTGCTGGTTCTTTAGATAGTTTGTGGAGTTACACAGGAATGATCATCAGATATCAGCCTCTTAATTACAAGCATGAACCACCAGTGCCCTGCTTCAGTATTTATTTTCTTCCTTTCTTTACTTTTTGGTGCTGGTACTGGGGCTTGAGCCACTAGCTCCCAGCTCTCAGTAGCTTCATATGTATTACATACTATTTAGAAAACCAATTAACTTACATGCTGGTCTTTCAATTCTGCCTGACATCCATAACAAAACCTGAAAAAGCAAGGTTAAGAATCATTTTTTAAGAATTCACTCATTAAAAATAGACTAGGGACTGGGAATGTGGCTTAGTGGTATAGTGCTTGCCTAGCATGCATGAAGCCCTGGGTTCCATTCCTCAGTACCACATAAACAGGAAAAGCCAGAAGTGACGCTGTGGCTCAAGTAGTATAGTGCTAGCCTTGAGCAAAAGAAGCTCAGGGACAGTGCCCAGACCCTGAGTTCAATTCCCAGGACTGAGGGGGGGAGGGGGAGAATAATAGCTGGATCATAATAGCTCATGCCTGCAATCCTAGCAACTCAGGAGGCTGAGACCTGAGGATCTTGGTTCAAAGCAGGCCCAGGCATGAAAGCCCATGAAACTCTTATCTCCAATTAACTACTAAAAATGTTGGAAGTGGAGCTGTGGCTCAAGTGGTAGAACACTAGCCTTGAGCAAAGAAGCTCAGGGAGAACACCCAGGTCCTGAGTTTAAATCCCAGGACTGGTACTACCACCCTCAAAAATAAAAACAAAAACAGTAAAATCTCAATAACTAATTTCTTTTGGGGGTGGTGGTGGTGGTGTTAATGAACTCAGGGCCTCCAGACAGGCAGAACTCTATGCTACTTGAGCCCCAGCTCTAGAATCCTTATTATTATTATTTTTTTGGTTGCTTGTGGGGCTTGAACTGCATGCTGTCCCAGTTCAAGGGACAGCACGTAGTTCAAGCCCTTGATCCTCTTTGTGCTCAAGGCTAGCACTCTACCACTTGAGCCACAGCACCATTTTTCCATTTTTGGTGGTTTATTGGAGATACAGGGTCACATCATGGACTTTTCTGCCCAGGCTAGCTTTGAAATGTAATCCTCAGATCTCAGCCTCTTAAGTAGCTAGGATTACAGGTGTGAGTCACCAGTGCCAGTCTAGAATCCCTTAACCAATTGTCTTTTTTTTTTTTTTGTCTGTCGTGGGGCTTGAACTCTGGGCCTGGGCACTGACCCTAAGCTTCATTTTGCTTAAGGCTAGCACTCTATAAGAAAACTGGTGGATTTATCCAGTAGGGCCAATATCAGAATAATGTGAGCTGAAAGTAGGAAAACATCTTAATTCTAGCCATACTTTACTGATAAGAGTGGTTGAGTACATAATTCAAGTTGGTGATAATTTTTATTATACATTCTGAAGGAATTTGCTTCTGCCAGCCTTTGGTATTATAGAAAAAATGCTAAACAATTTTAATCCCAGATCATTTACATTTGACTTAATTTTTTCTCTCTGGCACAGACTGAATTTTACAATTCTATACTTTAGTATAAGCCTGTCAATGTTAGACATTTGACAGTCCCTTCCAATCTAGAAAATTCTGATTTTCAATTTTCTTTGAACTTATTTCTTAGATGAGTTCCTACTCCACATACTTTATTTTCTCTGATATTGGCCCTACTAGATAAATCCATCAATTTTCTTTTCTTTTTTTTTTTTTGGGTCCGGTTGTGGGGCCTGAACTCTGGGCCTGGGTGCTGTCCCTCGGCTCTTCAGCTCAAGGCTAGCGCTCTACCACTTGAGCCACAGTCCCACTTCTGGCTTGTTTTTTCTTTTTTGTTTATGTGGTGCTGAGGAATCGAATCCAGGGCCTCATGCATGCAAGGCAAGCGCTCTACCACTCAGCCACCTTCCCAGCCTCCATAAATTTTCTTATATTTAACGCTTTTATTTATTTTTTTTTAATTTTATTTTATTTTATTTGAGAACATACTGTACAGAGGGGTTACAATTACATGGGCAGGATAATGCATACATTTCTTACCAAGCATTGCGGCCTCCTCCTTTGTTTACCCTTCACCTCCCTTCCCAGCCTCCCCCCTCCCCCCATTAACACTTTTATATTATGTTCCCCACCCCACCTCAAATAGTAGGGTTTGAACTCAAGGCTGCATGCTCTTGCTTATGGCTGGTGTTATACCACTTAGGCTAGGTTTCCAGTCTGGCATTTTGATGATTAATTGGAGATGGAGGTTTACAGACATTTCTGCCCCAGTCGGTTTAGTAGCTAGAATTATAGTAGTACCTGCTACAGTTTTTTAAAGTGTCTTTCTGGGATTTGAACTATGGGCCTCAAGCAGGCATTCTACCACTTGGTTCACACTCTATCCCTTTGTGAAGGTCTTTTTGAGAGAAGGGTCTCTGAATGTATCCCAGGCTTGCCTAAAAATTAAGGTCCTTGTGTATGTGTGTGTGCTGGTACTGGAGTTTGAACCCAGGGCCTTGTGCTCTTGCTTGGCTTTTTCACTCAAAGCTAGCACTCTACCAATTAAACCACATGTCCAGTTCCTGGTCTGGAAACAGATACTCTAGCCTTGGACTTCAGTGTTGGGATTACAGGAGTGTGCCACCACACCCAGCTTACATATGCTTCTTCATTTTACATCTAATACTTCTCATTATGGGACATTTCTTCAGCTTTATCTACAAATTACCTAAAGGTACTTTGATTAATTAGATTGTGTATTCCTGCCCTTATTTTCAATGTGTGTTAAAGCTCAAGATAATCAATTATTAAATATTCAAGCATTTCAAAGTCGGGCATTGGTGGCTCACACCTGTAATCCTAGCGCCTCAGGAGGCTGAGATCTGAGGATCGTGGTTCAGAACCAGCCTGGGCAGGAAAGTCCATGAGACTTTATCTCTAATTTACCACCAGAAAACAGGAAGTAGCACTGTGGCTCAAGTGGTAGAGCACTCGCCTTGAGCTGAAGAGCTGAAGGACAGAACCAAACCCAGAGTTCAAGCCCCACAACTGGAAAAAAATAAGAAAAATAATTTTAAATCTAGTTGTTAAACTGTTGGTAGCTAAAAACAGGTCAAGGTGGGGCCATCTTAGGAAATCACAAAATAATACCAAAGAATCTTCTCGGAGACTTTTGTTTTTTACCAAATATCATCATTTACTACAAATAAGTAAGTTTACGTAAGTTAATAGATGACTAGAGAAGCAAGTACAGTTAATGAGTCATTTAGTCATAACCAGGCTATTCTACATATCATTTTCTACATTAGAAGTAATCATACTGAAATCAATCTTGAACAGTACCACTTATAACTGACATAGATTAAATGAAACTAGTATACCTTTCTCCTTTGTATTCTTCTAGAGGAATTTCTTGAAAAGCATCCAAAGGAAATAAATGGTGATAAGACCGTGCCAAATGGGGAGCAGACACCAAAGTGAGACCTACCACATAAAAGAAACATATTTAATAACCAAAATTCACAGACAATGGCTAAAAAGTTGAATGGTACAGCTTAAGCCAAATATTAAAAAAATATGTAAAATATTTTCCAAAATACTATTACTGAGCTATATTCCCAGAATGCAAGTGTTTCTAAGACTGCAGGTATTAACTATGGCCATTAAAGGAAATGTCAGGATGGAGTCTTAGTTCTGCCACTAAGTATGTAATCTCTCTTGGATTATTTTCTTATAAATGAAACAAAATTTTATAATTACCTAATTTTAACTCACCATTCGCTTATGTATATTTTATAAAGGTAAGACTCAGAATATTGTCTACTAACAGTGCCCTTGTAATTATACTCTATTTTTGTTAGCATGGGCTTGAACTCGGGGCCTAGGCTCTGTCTCTTTTTTTCACTCAAGTCTAGCACTCTACCATTTTAAGCCATAGTGCCACTTCTGGTTTTCTGATGGTTAACTGAAGATAAGTCTCATGGATTTTTTTGCCAGGGCTGGCTTTGAACTTTGATCCTCAGATCTCAGTCTCCTGAGTAGCTAGGACTACAGGTGTGAGCTACCAACACCTAATAAATGACTCTTCTACAGAAAGAGAAAGCTCCTCTACACTGTTTATTCTTGGAAGTGGAATAGTAGGCATTCAGTGAGAATATTAATCTTACTCTTTAAAGAGATGATATCCGTAAGTGTATAATTCAACAGCTACCTTTATTTCAGCAGTGAAACAGATGGGAAGTAATTTATAATTAATTTACTTGAGAAGAATAGTCAGTTCCTAGCTGGACGCTGGTAGCTCATGATTGTAATCCACCTATTCAGGAGGCTGAGATCTGAGGATTGCAGTTCAAAGCTAGCCCAGGCAGGAAGTCTATGAGAATCTTATCTCCAATTAACCAACAGAAAACAGGAAGTAGCGTTGTAGCTCAAGTGGTAGAGCATTAGACTTGAAGAGCTGAGGGACACCACCCAGGCCCAGAGCTCAAGCCCCACAACTGATCACGCCCCCCTCCCCCAAAAAAAGGATAGTCAGCTCCTTACCACATATTTTACATTCAACTGGAAGCTCACTATACTTTGCCCGACACTGTGGGCAGAAATAGCCTCCTAATGTAAGCCCAGATTCAGTACTGTTATCCAAATGCCTGTGGAAGTAAAAAGAAAAGACTCTGAGAGGTGAAATATTCATGCATGCATACATACATGCGTATGTGTGACATATGCATGTTTCCTTTCATATACATGTGTGTACTACTGAGTGTGGGACAGAGAGTGGGGAGATGAAAAGCAAGAGCTAAAGAAATTATGTTGCCCCAGTCTAAACTCTGGATTCTATTTTAAAATTTATTTATTTATTTGAAAATATGTGTCATAAGCCAGGTAAACAAAAGAAACCAAGTAGGAGAGCCTCACGGCCAAGTTCAAGTCCCAGTACCAGGTCACACGACCACAAAATATATTTCCTATAGCTCATTTATGCTCTTCATACTTTTTTTCTCTTTATTTTGAAGTTTCTCTTGCTGTCTTTTAATTCACTAGTCTTTTCTTTTGCCAGATGCATCTCCTAATCACATCTGATGAATTTTCCAATTCTGTCATACTCTTCATTTCTAAAAGTTTGTAGGTCTTTTTTTTTTTTAATACCTTTCCTATGTCTTATGATTTTCAAATTCTCCTCATCCCTTCCTAAACTTATGTAATGTATTTACAATTGGTATTTAAACATCTTTAGTGACTAATTCTATCAATTGCGTTTTATTCTGTCTCCATTTTGTAACTTCTCCACTCCTCTTTTGTGTGTGTGTATGTGTATGTGTATGCCAGTACTGGGACTTCAACTTAAGGACCTACAGTCCTATTTGGGGGGAAAAAAAAGAAAAAAAAAATATGCCTGTGGTGGCTTTGAATCATGATGCAGAGATTGCTGCCTCTTGCGTTGCTAGGATTATAGGCATGGGTCACCAGCATGCAGCAGAAGGTAATCTTTCATAAAAGCTAGCACATTTCAAGCCATTTAAAAAATGGGGGCTGGGAAGGTGGCTCAAGTGGTAGAGCGCTAGCCTTGAGCTGAAGAGCTGAGGGACAGCGCCCAGGCCCAGAGTTCAGGCCCCACGACCAGACCCCCTCCCCCCAAAAAATAAATAAAATAAATAAGTTATAACTCAAGCAAATGAACTTAAAATATTAATGTATTATCATAGACTTACGCCATGCTGAAAGAAGGTTTTGCATCTTGATCAGAGAAAAAAGCCATGGTGTGTTGAGGAAATCCTTCATGGATAAAAACATGTATTGATTATTTTTCCAAGCAGTTCTAGGACTATAAAACTAAAAACTGTCGTTACCAGAAAGCCAGAAAAGTTACACACAAGCTCTTTCCTGCCACACACACACACACACACACACACACACACACACCTATGCATGTCTGCACATGCATACATGCATGTGCATCTGATGAAACTGATTATAAATCCAAGCTACAATAACAAGTAGAGAAAAGCTGAGGAAGATCTGTCTATTCCAAAGTGTATATATATCTACATTTTCTAATTTAGTAATAAATGTTGCTAATACAATTGAAGTTTATAAGTGTCTACTTTTACTTTAAGCATATACTTCTATGTTTACGTTTTTTGGAACAGTTAAACTTTTTATGTAACTTGCTCTCCATATATGTTCTAATCTCAGAACATGTGTTAAGGAAAAGAAGAAACCAGTAAAAAACCTCAACCAGGGGTAGGTGACTCATGTCTGTAATCCTCGCTACTAACAAAGCTGAGATATGAGGATCATGGTTCAAAGTCAACCCAGGCAGGAAAGTCTGTGAGACTCTTAATTCTCCAATAAACTACTCAGAAAAAGCCAGAAGTGGTGCTGTGGCTCAAAGTGATAGAGTGCTAGGCTTGAGTGAAAAAAGAAAAAACCTACACCTTGAGTTCAAGCCCTATGACTAACAAGAAAAGAAAAGAAAAGAAAAAAAAGGAAACTTCATTACATAAAAAACGTAAAATTAAGCCAGGTGCTGGTGGCTCACGCCTGTAATCCTAGTTACTCAGGAGGTTGAGATCTGAGGATCCAAGCTCAAAGTCAGCCCAGACAGGAAAGTCCATAGACTCTTATCTCCAATAAACCACTAGAAAACCAGAAGTAGAGCTGTGGCTCAAGTGGTAGAGCGCTCGCCTTGAGCTGAAGAGGGCAAGGACAGCACCCAAGCCCAGAGTTCAAGCCCCACAACCGACAAAAAAAAAAAAAAGGGGGGGGGCTGGGAGGGTGGCTCAGTGGTAGAGTGATTGCCTTGCATCCATGAGGCCCTGAGTTCGATTCCTCAGCACCACATAAACAAAAAGAAAAAAGCCGGAAGTGGTGCAGTAGCTCAAGTGGTAGAGCACTAGCCTTGAGCTGAAGAGCTGAGGGACAGCGCCCAGGCCCAGAGTTCAGGCCCCACAACCATACTCCCCCCCCAAAAAAAAACAAAACGTTAAATTAAAATAAAAACAAACCTTTAAATTTATCCTACATGTGTAAACAAATAAATATTCTAGGCTGTAGCTAATAGGTAGAGTACATGCTTAGTATGCTAGAGAAACTGAATCTATCACCAGCACAAGGAAAAATAATAAAATGAATATATAAAAATAGGGAATGTGCTTAGTGGTAAAGTACTTGCCTAGCATGCATGAAGTGCTGGGTTTGATTCCTCAGTACCAGATAACTGAAAAAGCCGAAAGTGGTGCTGTGGTTCAAGTGGTAAAGCTCTAGTTTTAGCACAGAGAGGCTCAGAGACAGAGCCCAGGCCCTGAGTTCAAGCCCCAGAACTGGCAAAAAAAAAAATATATATATATAAAATAAAAATAGGGTAGTAGTAAATGTAACTTAGGAGGCTGAGGCAGGAGGATTTCTTTTTTTCTTTCTGGCAGTCCTGCGGCTTGATCTCAGGGCCTGGGCACTGTCCCTGAGCTTCTTTTACTCAAGGCTAGCACTCTACCACTTGAGCCACAGCACTATTTCTGGCCTTTTCTGTTTATATGGTACTGAAAAAATGAACCTGAGTCTATCACCAGCTTCATGCATATTATACAAGCACTTTACCACCAGGCTACATTCCCAGCTCTCAAAAAAAAATTTTTTTTAACCCAAGTATTTTTCTACAAAAACATGTCTTTATATCTTTCAAATGTAACAATAAAAAAAGCAAGTAGTGTTCTCTGTGTAAGAGACGTACAAATAAGTTTTCTTTTGACTTTGGCAGGGCCTCCAAAATTGTTTCAGCATGTGAAAAGCTTTTTCTGATCATAAAGTAGTTTTTTGCTTGTTTGTTTGTTTGAAGTCATGGGGCTTGAACTCTGGCCTGGGCACTATCCCTCAGCTCTTCAGCTCAAGGTTAGTGCTCTACCACTTGATCCACAGTGCCACTTCCGGTTTTCTGGTAGTTAATTGGAGATGAGTCTCAGGGACTTTCCTGCCCGGGCTGGCTTTGAACTGTAGTCCTCAGACCTCAACCTTCTGAGTAGCTAGGATTACAGGTAGACGTGAGCCACTGGTCCCCAGCAGTTTTGTTTTTTTGTTTATTGTTTTTTTGGTCTGGTCGTGGGGCCTGAACTCTGGGCCTGGGCGCTGTCCCTCAGCTCTTCAGCTCAAGGCTAGCGCTCTATCACTTGAGCTACAGTGCCACTTCCGGCTTTTTTCTTTTTGCTTAGGTGGTGCTGAGGAATCAAACCCAGGGCCTCAGGCATGCAAGGCAAGCACTCTACCACTGAGCCACCTTCCCAGCCCCCCAGTTTTGTTTTTTTAAAAAAGGAAAACCTTAAATGTTAAAATAACCCCTTTGAACCAATATATACATAGCTTAAATAAGAAAGTAAATACATACCCATACGAATTAGTGAGCATTCAGAACTTGAGCTGGCAGGAGGAGGACTAACATGA